CCCCCCCCCCCCCCCCCCCCCCCCCCCCCCCCCCCCCCCCCCCCCCCCCCCCCCCCCCCCCCCCCCCCCCCCGCGCCGGGGGGGGGGGGGGGGGGTTATAGGTATCAAATCAACGGTCAAAAATGTAGAAAAAAATAAATAAAAGCTGAGCATTGTGTCTGGAGGTTATTTGTAGGTGATCAGATAGTCTGAGTAAGCTTGAGCATCATGGTAAGCAACATATATCTGAAACCCATCCGTCGTTGCTTGAAATCCGAGAGGCGGTTCTATCATTTTGCTGTTTCCTATTACGGTATTTCCAACAAGAACTCTTACCAAAAACATTGAACGTTCTAGTTGTCCATTTGTTGGGGCAAAGCCGTGGCTGTAAAGAGCACAAGTGGCAAAATAAGCACCTTTTCCATATGCAACTCCTAAGTAACAATTATGAAAATGATTTAGGAATTACAAAGCTCCTGGTAGTTACCGTGTGCACCGGCAAAAGTACGATTAAAACACTCGTGAACAATTTTATTTGCAACTCCTTCTGAGCAACCATGAAATAGAAGCATTTCCGTATCCTTTTTCAATTTTGCTTTGAATTCCTCTTTGTGCGCTGCATACTCTATTAAAACATTTCATAGTTAAAAGTGTTCTAGACTCTTTCTCTACTTACGACGAAACCAACGTTGATTCTGAATGCGTTCAGTTCGTACTATTTCTGTGTAGTGATTTATCATTGTCTCATCAAATTTGGCTTTAACTATTTTGTATTCATCACTGTTGACACCAAGGGTAAACCGCCAGCAATTCTCTTCTTGTGGTTCCCAATGAAGGGGTAATTGTGGATCCAATTTGAGACGACTCACCGTACGCTGACGTTTGTCAAACACTTCAATGTTCGTATCGAAATCAATTCGGCATATTTCTGATTGTTCATTGATAATTTCAGTCTAGATATATATATATATGTGAGAATATAAAAGCAAAGACAGTTCATCAACTTACAAATGAATGCTTTTGTAATGTAATGTAAGCATTTTCGATTTCTAGATTACATCGATAACTATATTTTACCCATCCATCTTCTGTTCGATACGCCCAAGCAACATCGCACGCAATAGAATGTAAGATTATCTGATGTTGTAATTGACATCTATATTTAAGTAATTCATTTTCAGCTTGTACTATATTCATTTTCTCTCCGCATAATTTCAGATTATTATTGTCAACAGTAGGAATAATACAATTATCCATGCAATATTTATAAAAGGCATTTATCGTTGATTGATCTAAAATTTTTAGACTATTTTCGATATTAATATCGGATACCATTTTGAAATTGTTAAAAAATAACTCTATAGCTTGTTGACATTTGATTATATTTCCCTTGCTATAAGATTTAAGCGTGATAGAAATACCTAGAGGTATATAATCAATTAAAATATGTACCTGACATTCAGACAATTGATACATACTTGACAACTTATGCGATATTTGTGCAAAGGCATCTTCTTTTCGTTGAATGATAGATATTGCATTTGAAAACTCACGAAATACATTTTGTTGCTCTTTCAGCATAACAAATGATATTCGAAGATTTAATTTTGTCTTTTCCAATTGCTTCTTTGCTTCAAAAATCATCTCTTTAGCTACGATATCAACAGGGCAGCCGAACTTTCCACAACCAATAGCAGGAAAAGCAACGCTTTCGATCGATCTGGTGTTCGCTTGAAAAGCTATGTACTGAATAATGACCGATACAAATGTACGCAATGATTCAGCAAGCTTTGATGAATGAACTGGTTTGTTCCATGGCAAAAATAGCAACTTTTCACAATTTAAGTTGCCCGGATTCAGTTCGATTAACGAATCGTAATTTGTTTTAGAAGCCTTATCATAATCTTCTTTAACGACACTACCAGCCTGCTTTAAAATTGAATCACGTAAAATGCCCGATGTTGAACAAACAACGACAAAGTTCACCTGAAAATAAGAAGTATACCATTTTAAAACAAAGAAAAATATGATATGTTTTTCGAGGAGACGAGCCACGAGAGCAGTAAAAAAGGTCGGTAAAATGGGGGGTTGGGGGAGGGAGAACATAGATTTCGTTTAGATGTGCTCACTGAATTCTTGATTAAAAGTACGCACGTACCCAAAGTTTTAGACCTCAGTACCGGTTGTGCAGATATCATTCATTTATTTTATAATACAATATAACACTGCTATCAATGTCTTTATTTTTACTGATTAAATCACTTGTTCCTCAAATTTTTCCAAATATCTGTGGTATGGATTATTTAGTTCTAGAAATGTCTCAAATTTTTTTTGTTGAGAAACACTTTAAATTCTATCTATTGTGTTCTCTTTTCTATAATCTCGAGTTTCAAGTCAGACGAACGAGCGAGAAAAGCTGAATAAAATGTATTACTCTTAAAAGGCCTTGAAACGAAAACTTGAAAAGAAAAGCACTAAGAAAGAAAAGATTTACTTGAATAGATTATTTCAAGAATAAGCTTCAAGCACCTTACCATGGGGTACATTTTTGATGGGACTCGAAAAAGTAATAAAAATTGATGTTTGTACTTGAATTATAGTGTTTATTTTAGTATGCTAGTATAAAGTGAAAGAAATGCACTGTTTTCAGTAGGGATGAATATGGACGGAGAAGTCACAAAACGTGCTAAATAGTATTCCCCACCACCGTGTTCAAAAATACAAAAAGCAAAATTACTTTTTGTGTCGCTAAATCCCCAACACGGACATCAATATATCTACCAAATGACACTGTTGCACACAAACTAACATCTGGTGATTGTAACAATGAGTCTGATTCATTTACAGTGTGCGCCGAAGGTGGCGTCGTATCTTGGCTCGTTGCTTTTAAAATTTGAATGAAAATATTTTTCGATTCAACGGTCGATTCGTAAATGCAACCATGTTGGTCGATTATTTTCTTTAGGCGATGATACTGGTCACATATAGTTGCTGAAAACATATTTGTGATCACAAACGTTGATGTTTCGCATGGCTGGGGAGGATGGACAACAACTGGATAGCTTGTGACAATCTAAGCAAATTGAATCATTAATAATGGCGAAAAGAATCCACAATAGTATTTACTTACCGCTGGACGGTTACTTTTGCTGATGACGAGTTCGAGCTTATTTCTTAGCTTACGAATGATATCAGATTCCCCAAAGAGTAGAATTACGGATTGCTCAATCTCACTAACAATATTTTCTTTGTCTTTCATTTGTGACTTCAATTCAGTTAGTAGATCATCGCTCGTATCCGTTGGTAATTCAATCGTACCTGATACATACGGTTGACTATCAATTGCTTCGTCAATTTTTGACTCTAAAACGTTGAACGGTGCTTTATTAAAATAGTAAACAACTAACTTTTTCTCCTTCATTATGCACGAGCAATAAATATCGTTTGAATTGAGATGGCGCTGAATAAGAAAAGCAGCATTTACTATCTTCACACCATTGCCAACTATAAAGATAATAAGAATATTAGAAAAAGAATGTTCTCCCCTGATTCTCAAATCGTGCCTCTTTGTTTATCATAGCATTTCGATGAAACTGAATTAAATAAGTTTAACAGTTCAGTTATGGCGGATTCGCCATAAGAGCCATTACATTGAATATCATACAGATACTGCGATGAATCGAAAATGATTTTTGTTTCAACTCTGTACGTCTTGTTTAAATATCCCTTCAAATGTTCACAAAACTTGCCATCAAGAAAAAATTGGCGATATGCAGTATGCCGACGCAATTGATCAACTGTGTTTACTTTTTCTGATTCTGTGGAAGATACGATAGATAATGGTGGCAATTGATCATTAGGTCTAAATACAGATATTCATTCAGATGTTAGAATTACAAAACCCTAAACGAGTATACCTCTTCCATGCGTCAGACGTAATGACTGGTAATGGATCTAACTTTAATGGAGGAAGATTTCCTTGTCGACGAATATCACCACGAGGCGTTTCGCGTTTTCGTGCAGTTTTAGGGCGATGATCTTTAGAATTCTTCAAAATAGGAAGTGCATTTAGTAAATCAGTATTCAAAGGATTTTGAACTTTTTGTCCACTCATTCGAAGAGCATAGGGATTCGCAGTTAATGGTCTACTGGTTTCTCCAAAATCAAGCCGAAATATTTCTGTTTTGTCATATTGCGCCATAATAAATGAGCAATATTCACTTAATATATGCGAAAAAACTTATTTAAATTGATGAATTGTTACTTTTTAGAAAATCTATCGTTTAAACAACTACAGATTCTACAAAGTTTAGCTGCGTTTGACAGTTCCTCTCATAGCCATTTTCGACAATTTTTCCATAACGACGACACATTGTATGTAAAAACGAGTCCTTTTTACGTTATTTTTTTTATGTCATCTAAATTAGAAACTTAAGCAATAATTTTAAGTACTAACTCGATGAGCTTTATGTTATGTAGATGCCACTCCTATTTTCAGACTTGTATAAAAAAGTGTAAGCTAGTAAAACCGGGTAACAAGGCTTTTACTAATTTTTAATTGAATGATTCAACTTTTCATCAGGTTATCAAAGCATTCTGTGACGCTAGATTATCTGCTCGTGTCGAGTTATAATACAAAGGTAAGCCCAATAGTTTGTGAATAATTAATTGCTTTGAACATACTAAACAGTAGATGTCGAATCTGCTTAGGTATAAAAAGTAACTAATTTCCTATGCATTTATGATCCAAACTCCATTATGTACCGTTCGTTTTCGTTCTGTCTTAACTTACACGAAAAATAAAAAGAAAATGCGAATAAAGCAGATTGAAAGAGTGCTTTCATTTCTTTTCCATCTTTCGTTCGTAACGAAACTCTTTCAATCTACCCTAATGTGTTAAGCCTTGTTTACATGACTAATTTACACTCTCGTTTTATTCCAGTCGTGTGTGTCTGAACATGACTGGTTCGTTAATCTAGTTTCTTTTAAACATCTTTTATTCACGAAATAAAGGTAAAGAAAAAATACAACAGCCAGAGAAACACATTTATACGGCAATTCAGGATATACCATTGTATGTCGGATTCTATGTGAATACACTTGAATAAAATGAGTATATAGAGAAAAGAGATTATGCTAGTGTTAATGAAGAAAGAAAGAGAATTTGGAACCGACTTATGAGATCTGCTCTATCCATGTGGTATTCTGCTCATGAAGGTTTAGTACATCATGACTGATTGCGTCATTTTGATCAGATCGTTATCGCTTTTAAGAAACGACGAAATCAAAGTAAATAAACAAAATAGAAAGCCTCTATTCTAGGCCGTCTAACTGATTCACCTATTCCTTATATATAGCTGTGACTAGTCATTCCACACTTCCAAACGCTCTTAGAAGATGTTACTCTCACTTCTCAGTACGCTATGCTTTCTAAGTATGGTAAAACGCGGAGTAAGGGAATGAGATAGGCTTCCTATAGTAGGAAGTATTCCTTTTTTTGTTATTGAATAATATGAATTTGCTTCTCTTTTTGTATAGTCACAAAGTATGAATTTGTAAATACATGTCTGTTTAACTGAATGTGAAGTTAGATTATGCCTGCTGGGTAAAAAAGTAAAAAAATAAATATGATAATATAAGAATGAAATTAAGAAGTCATAAATGTTACTATTTTTTATGCAAAATTGTTTATAAACAGTGAAGGCGTGTATGCGGAGAGTTGTGAATATTTTTTGGGTTTTTTTTCCTTTCTGTAACGAACGCCAGAACAGTAGTTAAGAAATACAATCATAAATAATTTCTATCCACCGAACAGATGACGATTTGGGAAGAATAAGAAAAAAATAGTGAAAAAATTGATTGAAGAATAATACTTTTCATTTTCGTTTTATAAAAAAACAAAAACATTTACCTCTCACCGGAGTTATGTAAGTGAAAGTTATACAGTTAAGTGGCCTGACATATACTCTGAGACAGCGATAATTTTGCCAGCGTTTAGACGTGCGGATGTAAGTGGCAAGTACTGCTACTACATTCGGCATAATTTCTTGTCACAGGTGAATTGTATACACCCTAGTGAAACTTCTTGTAACCAA